CTGCTGAGCTCTTCCTCCCTCACTCTCTTGCGCTCCCTTTTTTCTCCTCCAGTCTCATTATTTGGAGAAGCTTGCCTGATGACAGTATCTGAGCTGCCTGTCGCTTATTAAAAAATGAAAATTGCTTCAGATGAGTTTATTAAACACATCTCTCCCTCTCTCTCTTTTTCATCTGCCTCCCTCACACTCTCATTTCTTTCACAGATATAGCAGCATGTTGAGATGAAAGAAGACTCCTCTTTTTTTGGAAAGCCCTATGAAAGATGCACGAATCGTACAATACGAGTGGGGAACAAAATTGTCGTAAAACAATTACGAGTTCTTCTCGAGGAATTTGACAAAATCAATTTGCATCAATACTTCAAAATATTTCATCTGTTCTAAATCGAATAGCTGACATAATACAATAAACTTGAAGGCTTACGTTGTAATTAATTAAAGTTGCATTAAGAGCAGCCCCAGCCATTAGTTCAGAGAGAGGAGTTGACTTTAATGAGGGTCTTTTATCATACTGGAAGACAGAAAGTACATTGAAGAAGTACAAATAGTGCACTTTCATTATAAGTTAAGTGTTATAACCATTGACATACTCCTTTTCTTCCTTTGATTGCATTAATTCAATTTTTTATTCAACTCTATAAACAATATTCACATATGATATCTTTTATAATTTCAATGCTAATGCAGTGCAAATCATATAACTGCAGAAATTTTTTCCTGGAAGGAGTAATAATAAGAGCAAGCCATAAATAGATTTGAAAGACACAGAATTTGAGACATAAATGGTCATGCACATCTATGATATTATTTCTGCAATCAACTGGGGAAAAAATATTATATTTGAAGCAATAATTTTTCTGTTTCACCTAAAAAATGTCACATTCATTCTTCTGTCGAATATATTTTGAAGAATGTTGGGGTTCAAACAGAGATGGACCCCACTCACTTCCACTGTACAGACAAAACAAATAATAATAAAATAAAAAGAAGAAAAGCAGAAAAAAATGCTATCTATGTGTAATTTTTGGGTGAACTACCACTTGTAAGCCCACATTGTTATTAATATTAACACAAATCCAATAGCAATATGACTTCCAACGGGAAGCTAATAGCAATCATTGAATTTAATGGAGCACTGGTTTGGTGATATGAATAAATCAGGTGGTGTCAGGCAGCTGTTGTTGATGTTGTTTGTAGGGGCTGCATCAGGTAAAAGCGAGACAGTGATGTGACGGAAAAGCAGATTGTGTGGCGTTTCCACAGCAACTATGCCATCCTCTCATAATTTGCTCTTTGGCGGTGAACCTGGAGGTGAAAAAACAGGTCTAATAGAGCACAGCAAACACACATACAGTAACAGACATTTGCATGAACACTAATGTTTGGAGTTCGGCTTCTGTGTGAGATCTCAATAACATCATGTCATAACTGTGATTATTAGAGCAAGGATCGTTCATGCAACAGTTCATGTTACATTTTAAAAAAGGTGCAAATAATAGCACCAGTCAATATGGTTGGGGGTGTTTAATTTTAGTGATATGAAATACCAAATTAGTCAGTCTGCTGGTTTTTAATTTATTTATTTTAGCAAGGTAAACACTGCTTCCATTAAAAACACTAATGTAGTCAGTGTTGGTTTGTTATCAGTGCAAGCGACAGACGTACAGCTCATTGCACTAGTTTGTACCCTGTGTCCCAGAACACAGAAAAAACGAACACTAATACATTGACACCACAGTTAGGACTACCAATTACTTGTCCTCTCACTGCAGGAGGGATAGATGGAAGACTTTGAGGAGAAAAATACTTAAATTATTTAGATTTTTGAAATGTACGTATTGATAAAGTGCACAACTACTGAGTACAGTTTGTTTAGAAAGCATAAATGATTAAGGGTGGTTATGAATTTTAAACAAGTATAAATGTCTGCTATCTCGTAAGGAAATCAAATCAGTGTTAAAACACAAAAGGTAATGAATAATGTTTGGAAGACTTCATTTAAAGTATAAGGGTGTGTGTGTGAGAGAGGGATTTGTGGTCTAGGTAAACCCTACGTTGGATAGTAAAAGGATAGTAAAACATAAGATTTTTGATCTTGTGGGGACAATTTTTGGTCCCCATGAGGAAAACAGCTTTTAAATCATACTAAATTATGTGCCTTTTGTTTGTTTGTTTGAAAAGTAAAAATGCTGAAAGTTTTCTGTGAGGGTTAGTTTTAGGGGATAGAGTATACAGTCTATACAGTATAAAAGTCTATGGAAAGTCCCAATAAAACATGAAAACCCAACAAGCGTGTGTATGTGTTTGTGTGTGCGTGTGTGTGATGACAGACCTCGTGGGAAGTATGCAGGCAACATTGTTTCATAGAGCTCTTTGTCAGACTTCAGAAACACACAGAAGATGACCCGGTCCAGCTGACAGCAGATTAAACCAGAAAAAGAGACAAGAAATAAAAAATAAATGACCATAGAGAATCTCACATTCAAACTCTGCACAGCAGAAACCGACAATACTTCATAGACACAACTGAGAAGAATGTACCTGTAATAATTTATCACAAACTTCATTCAAATGAAACAAATGTGCCCCTTCATCCTTGCTACACTCTCTAAAGCTATAGCAGACATTTGCTTAAATTCTTGTGAATATAGTAAAATGAAATAAAAGCGATTACGAAAGTAAATAACGTAAAAAAAACTGCACATCTTCTAGAACTCCATTATAAGTTAATTTCTGTCAAAGTGTTTGTTTGTTTTTTTAAACAGAGATTATTTTCTGTGGCATGAATTGAACTTCAAATATTCCATTTAACTGAAGAAAAAGGTTCATTTATCCAATTCACTGATTTCTGACTTGTAGCCTTCTCAGTCTTCTGGGAAGAGAGGGTCTTCTGAAAAAGACCACTTGGGTGCAATCGCTTAGCATATTCTAATTTCTTGTCTTTCTAGTCGGAGAGGCTCAGTGCCAGTGACCTAACTGTCCTTGACAGAACACCAGCACCAGTCCCAAATGCTTCATGGCAAGCAACAACATAAAGAATACATCGAGATCCGTGCCAGCATCCTAGAACCTCCATCTCCATGACAACAGTGGTGAGGGCAGGTGGGCTGTTCCTGCTTCTAATCATGTTCCTGTAACACATCACTGCATCCAGCTAGCACTCCTACTCTGCCACTGAAATCTCTCTCACTCTCATTTTTCTCTCTTTGGTCTCTATAGATTGTCTTTTTTCATTCCCTTTTGCCTCTCTGGCTCACTCATCCTGTGTCGCTTTGTCTGTCTGATTCAGATTCAAAATGAAGCTTTACATTGCCAAAGCATTTGTAATGTAATGCACTACAGAAATGAGGAGGCCAAATTTTCGGTTTGGTTTCTGGGTTAAAAGCATATGGGAAAATATTTACCATACACTATCAATAAGAAAATAATACTATAATATTTTGCTTGTTTATATTAACATACTATATTAACATGAACAGAGAATGTTACACTAAATTATATCAAAGTAAATTTTATAAATTTTTTTTTTGAGTTTCAGATGCATAAAATGCATATTTTGTGCAGTTTGTTATTATTAATAGTTGCCTTCTTTCCAAACCAAATCCTCAGTAAACACTGCAGGTGCCATGAAGATTACATGGAGGTGCCAATTTAATTTAACTAAGTGTTTACTAAAAAATGTCTCACATATCTTCATCATCATTTCAAGTTCATTTTGATCCAGACATGAGTGG